TTTTATCATACAATCTTTAACTTGTTCATCTTCTTCTGTTTCAAATCTCAACAAAAGCTTATACATTTTAGTAATGTTTTGCTTCACTTTTGTGCATAATATAGATTTTCAAAGTAAATAAAATGTTGTTAAATAGCTTGAAAAGTTGCTTTTGGAGGCCGTACTTCATGGATCAGTTACTACCTTTGTTTGTAGAAAAAGGTTTTGCTGCTGAATTCAAACTCATCTTTGTGAAGCTAATATAAAACTCATTGTCACAAAACTTAGGTTTTACAAAAGATTTCCACGCATGTTCTAGGACAGAACTGTTACTTCTCTGTTCGCTGAAGGGCTTTTTATAAAACTTTTGAGAAGTTTCAGGACTCTGCGGAAACCAACTTGAATACTGTTGATCTCAATAAGAAGAGCTATGGAAAAAAGTAAGCCAGGCATCTTGAACTAAAGTCTGTATGGTTATGGTTGAATTGCAAGACCTTAAGGACTATTGCCCTAGTTGGACAATGTGGTGCATCATTGGCACTGTTTGTCCTGATCCACCTTACGTTCTGCTTTATGTCTTGTATGTTTTCCTTGAGGTTTTCAAATTTATGAAGACGATATTAATTTAGAAATTCATCTTCATCATCTTATTCTGCCTTTTGAAAGCAATCCACTACATTAAAATATATAATTATTCTTTAGGATTTGACATATTCATTATAACTCTGTTACTTTACATCAGCCTGAAGTTTTTATAGGTGATACAGACAGGAATACTGAATGCCTTTCCAATATCTTCACATTTTTCTTAGACATCAGCTCTAGAAGTATCTTTATTGTGGCCAAATATTTGCTGCAGTCTTTCCATTCTGTTATTATCTCCAGTCTAACTCCCATTCTTCCTTCTAGCCTAAGTCTAAGTTAAAATATTTTCAGCCGTGGATGTAAATAATCATTACTGCCATGTAATCAATACTGCCAATTAACATATCATAAAACTTTTGTTTGTTTGTTTTTTTGTGCCTTCGAGTCAATGTTGACTCCTGGTGAATGCCTGGACAAATTCTTGCAGTTTTCTTGGCAAGATTTCAGAAATGGTTTGCTATTGCCTGCTTCCTAGGGCTGAAAGGGTGTGACTGACCCAAGGTCATGCAGCTAGGTTTGTGCCTAAGGCGGGACTAGGGCTCACACTTTCTGGTTTCCAGTCTGATGCCTTAACCACTACACCAAACTGGCTCTCTAATACAATATTTTACCATCTTCTATATTTTTTACAGGAAAGACTTAGAACTTACTGGATATTTCCGAACAGAACTAGCCTTGAAACTTCTGCAGTATTTGCCAGTAACAGATGCCCCTCATTTCTATGGATTACCTTCCTTGGAAAGAACACTAAGTGGTATGGTTCATGTCACTGCACTCCCAGGCTGGAGTTCATACTCTGTCACAATGGATCCATTCACAATTTGCAAGAAATACTTAGCTGGGCTTCTTGAGGTAAATGAACAGTGAATAACTTTTGTGTGACTGGGCAATAAAAACAGTGGATTGACTTGGAAGTGTCCTTCTGTAAGCAAAATGCTTGATGCTCCAGCCAAGATTTCATTAGAGAGAAGGGGAACAGGTTCCACAATTGGAAGTTTCTTTAGGGAGCTCATCTTTTGTACTGGATTTTGTTTACTAGTATCTAGCCCAAAGTCTATTTTTTTGCTTTTAGTAATTGAAAGGGAACTTAAAAATATATTGTATAGTATTTTACCAGGTTCTAGTCAATGAATAGTTTCATCACTAAATGTTATTTATGCACACCTTTCACTACTGCAGGATGCAAATATGTGTCTGATGCTAATTTTGGAAAATGCGCTTGTCATATAGTAGTTAAAAGCCATTTTTACCCCTTTGGACATGAATCAGAAAATAGCATATTGGATATTATTTTTAAATAGCTTCCATATTACTTGGTTAATTTCTAAAAAACAAAAACCTAATTCTCAGATCATTTCCTTTGTGAGAGCGCCACAAATGGGCTCTAACTTGCATTTTAACACAGATCCCAGCAGAGTGGAATATTTTTAAGTGTTGTTATATATCATTTAAATATTATATGTTTGTCACTAGGTTAAACAAAATTACAGTTGAAAAAAGACCTGGAATATCATATGTGTAATTAGTAAGAAAAAGATCTCCCTGTTGGACTACAATCTAAATGAGAGATCAGAAAAGAATTACAACATGACAAGAGATTTTGTAGCAGTTTTTAGTTTAGTATACTTAATTGCCATAAAATGAGTTAGGGGACAGAGTGAATTAGCTTTCTGCAATGATCATTCTTCTTGTCAGACACATTTCCTGTTATACCTGTTACCTGTTGCTTAAAAATAACCGAAACGTTAATACAGAAATTCTTTATCACATCTAATTTGAGTTGTTGAATGGTATGCAGAGTTTAGTAAATGAATTAAAGGATAGTTTGATAGCTTAGTTTGATAGCTTAAAGAACCAGAATAGAAATATCACACCCCAGATCTTTAGATAAGACATCATGTAGGCATAATTCTTTCAAACGAAATACTATCTCTCACAGGTTATATCATCCAATAGCTATCAGCTCTTTAGGACTTTATTAAAATTCTACAGGCTTTTAAACTCTTTCTTTTTTTGCATATCCCCAAAGTGACAGAATTAATACATTTTTGCATCTTACATCTGGCCAGTGCCCAGGAAGGACAGAATTAATAATTGCTGAATGTATGCATTGCGAGAGTAGAAGCTATTTTCAGATTCAGAAAGAACAGAATGGAATCTGCATGTAAAAGAAGTTTCATTTCCCCAAGCGACCCTCTGCACCTCCTCAAAACTGTTCCAGAGTGGACTGAAACCCACTCTCCAACCCCAAACAGAAGCAATAATATAGTATAATCACCTTGGACGTAGTTTACTCTATGTGCATGAGAAAGGAGCAAGGTTTATAATGTTCATAAACCAGTTTTGAAAAACACAGCATACATGTAGTAAAGCTATAAACTTTAAAGCTACAATCTTTGAGTGTCGATAAGCTGATATTTGTGACAAAGTTGTGATGTCATTGATCAGTGTTTTTTGCCTCTCCTTCCAGGTCATCTCATCTTTTTATGTTGAATGGGGAGGCCATGCCATGTCTTTCATGGGGAAAGGAGTTACCAAGAGTGCTGTTCTTTGTTTGCTTCACTTGTCCCATGAAATGAGCGTTCAGGCTCTAGATGGGGTAGGAAAATGATAAGACAAAGTTCTCTCTGTCTTGGATTACTGCATTGTTTAGTATCACTTTTTTTGCACCTCAGTGCTCATGATATTATTTTTATATTTCAGCATGAATATTTTGTTGTTGGGTCCTTGGTAAGACAGTTTCAAGCGGGAACATTTAATATCTAAGAAGGACCGTTGCCCTCAGTACTGATGGCTGACTAGATCAGTGTTTTTCAACCTCGGCAACCTTAAGACGTGTGGACTTAAAGTTCCACACTTGCTGGCTGGGGAAGTCTGGGAGTTGAAGCCACACGTCTTAAAGTTGCTGAGGTTGAGAAACACTGATCTAGAGTAATGTTTAAAATAACATATCTAGGTTATATGCCTAGATACTTAAAAAGAGCTTGGAATTGACTGGTTGGTAATTTTTAGCTTTTTTTTTTTCTTTTTCACCTGTATAGAGTGACATTTTTTTTTGAACGCATAGCAGTTTATTGTAATTGTCCACTGTATGCATTCAATGGAATAAAGGCCAACACATATATAATTTAGAATTTAATTGTGCAATATTTGATCAGTTTGTGGATCTTGTATGCTTATATGCAAATGAAATCTCCGTTCTCCTAGTAGACACCCGCATCTATTTGCGTTGATGCTATATTATAACACAAATATGAGTATTCTCTGACCTTTGGGCCATATGTGGGCCTCTATCTAATATCAAAACGCATCTATCAGTGATCAGTCAAGACTTCTAGTAAGAGTTATGTGTTCTTCCAGCTTTTTGCTAGTGGGAAGGAGAAGAGGTTGTCAAAAAGAGAAGTGAACTGATATCTTCATCCATTTTTTACTCTGCTTTTGTCCCACTGAACAAGTAACCATCATCATTTCTCAGGACTGTGACTTTGCTCCAAAAAAACAAAACAAAATGGTGTCCATAATTGTTGGGAGGAACTGAAAATGAGGAGAAGAATGAGAAGAACAGACCCAGAAATTAAGGTTTTCTCCAGTAAAAATTTCCAGAAACCTTTTAGATAAAGGTTTTTTGTTCAGTTTCAGCTATTTCCTGCAGAGAACACACTGTAAGGATTCTTCTCCAAGGCTAGATGAAGTAGAGTTAGTTATATCCCTATAAAGGTGTACACTGTATTTTCAGTTTTATATTCTGTATTCCTTAGGTATTTAAATGTATATTCAGTCTAATTTAATGAACAATGACATTTAATAAGAGCTGAACCTTAGTGTTACATTAGCATTACGTTTTCACACATTTATAACTTCATATATAAAATGCGGTTTTGCAAGGGAAGAGAACAAGTCCTGGTTTGATTTTTACTTTCATTTTTCATAACTTTACTGGATTATAGGGTGACCTTTTTCACTGTGCGGTGCTTTTATCTTTACAAAACATACTAGTGTTCTCTTGTGCCTTATGTATGTTATTTAAGTGCTAGCTTAGGATATGCATTTCACTGACTCAAAAAGTTCATAGGTTTAAATGTTGGAAAATATACAAACAGTTTATAGTATATAAAAACTGATTTCAGAAAGAATCAAAATGTTGTTCATTTGGTTTTTAACAGAAATATTTCCTTCTTAGGACTGGGTTTCTCTCTGGTACTTGCCATATGATAACCGTGAAGAACAAGCTCAGTTTCGACAAGGCTTAGCATGGCTTATTCCATTATGGGTAGATAGAGACCCTGAGGTTAGTAAAATATTGCATATTTTTCCATTGCCATGGCAAGAGAACTGCTGTTCCCCTAGTGAAAGTGTGATTTACCAGCTTGGCTCCCAGCCTTGATGCTGCAGAGGTAGGAAGTAATGACCTTAGCAATTGTGTGGTTATTTCTTGATTCAGCATCAAGCTTGGAAAGAATTTTAGATAGTTTGGTCATTATTTTGCTGTTCATCAGCACCACAACTACATAGAATACAAAGGAGAAAACTTCTTTATGCCTTTTGCAATTCCAAAAAAAGGAGGGGATTATCCCTAACTTTTCCTGGATATACAGCGTCAGATTCATGCCAATAGAGGCAGGATCTTTTTAAACACAACTGATGTCTGATCATTTTCCTTGGAATTCTATTGTTCACAATAAATATACTTCCCCACAGAACCTTGAGTTTATATGCATAGGACTTTTTTTCTCACTCTTTCATTGACATATGCAAGAATGATTATTAATAAGCTAAATTCATCAAGCTGCTTTTTTTCTTTCAGTCTTGGATTTTTGAAATATCTGAAATGTGAATGGGCTGCATCTAATAGTTCCCAGTTAACAGAAGATTTTAGTCTTTGTAAAGAGACCTAAGAAATGATCCACTGGGTCTTAAAATATTTAAATAAAGTTGTTTGCTGTGTCATAGGCCTCACTCAATTGTGAGATGCTTTTCCTTTTTTTTTTTTTATAAATGTTTTTTTATTTTTACAACAAACACAAAACATACATGAACAAACAAAAACATAAAAAGGCATAAAAAAAGCATCTT